GTTTTTGCTTGTTTTCATCATTTTGATTAGACTTAAATGTGTTTTTTGCATTGAAGAATTGTTTTCTCTTTGCTTCACAAGACCCATTGAACCAAGGTTTTTTTCTGCGATTGTCTCTGTGCATTTTGAGATTGTTTGTTTGTCACTTGTTTGCTGATATTTGCGGCACTCGCACTGTTTCGGAATATATCACCAATTTTAGAACAAATATTATCAACTGATTCTTGGGTTGAGGTTTCTTTGTTGATCCCCGATAACATTTCGATCACTTTAGTCTTTTGCTGTTATTCCATCAGTAAATGTTTGAACTGAATCTGGATACCATGTTATTTTTGTAACGTGTGTTTGCCATTTGATCCTCTTTCATGAGTGGTTCATAGTTTGCTCCATTTAGTAACATATTTCAAAGTCACTTATATTAGTCAACACTTTAGGGCTGCATGTCACATAATCAACTACAGAACTTCCATTACATGTGAATGCTCCTTTACGTTTGTCTGATCCAAAGCGACCATTAACTATATATATTCCCAAGTTTTTACATAGGCTAATAAACCTTTCTCCATATGGATTTACATTTTTATCTTCGTTAAACCGATGCAAAGGTACATCACAGTTCGAAAATACTGACTCACTTTCAAGTTTGTCCCTCAGAAAGGTATTATCATCATCAATTGTAAGGCAAGATTGTTCCAAAGAGAATGTGTCATTGAGTAATCCAGTTCTTGCCTTAAAGTCTCCAACTAAAATCAATTCTGAATGATTAGAACAATATTCCATATATTCCATATGATCCTCGATCATGTCAAACATTTCCAGCTTGCTATAGTTTGTGTTTATTGGTGGAATATAGGCGACACAAAAAACAAGTTTGTATCCGAGTATCTTCCTATCTAAGGAGAACCAAATCGTAAAATCGTTCCCAGTTTTATAAAATGTAATTTCGTTCTGCAAACGATATTTCGCTAACACTGCTACTCCACCTGATGAGATTTTTGACGTTTTCCTGCTAATTAAGAACGACTTGAACCCCTTTATTTCGATTGAGTCCAAATCACAAGTTTTGATTTCAACCAAGCACACAATATCATAATCCGCAATATAGTCCTCAAAATCACTTGATAAGAGTTTTGATTTCAGTCCACATATGTTCAATGATAGAACTTTCAAGTCATCTTGCTATAAACTATTTTCGTTACTATTTCTTCTTTGATTGGTTGTTATTATTCTACCACTATTAGCAACTCGTAGTGTTGGGTCATTTAAGTGTTCGAATAATTATCCTCGAGTTTGATTCAATCAGCCTTTCAGTTTGTGATTTCGCTCTTGAAATGAACACATCTTTGTATGCAGTGTTAGCCAACTTCCTTTTAGATTGAAGTACTCTATTTCTTTGCTCAGTGTTCGCAAAACTGATTTTTACTATGCCTGGTTTTGTACTAAGTCTTGATTTCAGTCTGATAACTTCAGAGATATTAACATTCATAAAAACTTGCTCACCTAGGGCTTGGATGATACTATTTGCCTTTTCTAAAATGTTCTCAGTTTCTTCAAATTTGACACCAAACAAGACCACACTTAAGTCATTGTATTCAGTCGGTCTACCATGACTAAGCTGATTACTGTTTTTTTCTAAATCCGATATTTTGTCTTATAATGTTCGAACATAATTTATCACTTGATCTATTTTAACTCTCTCTGCAGTTATGTCTATAGTTAATTCATCACCTAACATTTTCACCTTTGAATCAATATGACCAATAAGGGTTTCCATTTATCCATTTTCATTTCTAACACATTACCAATTTTATCTTGGTTAGTTTTGATTTCTGTCACATGATTAATTAATATTTCCATCTGTTTTGTAAGCAGTGCGATTGATGTAGAATCATTACTGTCCCCACAGTCAATAGTTTTATGTGTTTTCTGTTCTGCCTTAGGGGTGTCACCTTGATTGTCCCTTGTTCTTTTTAACGGGGTACCACTAGTTTCAGCCATATTTTCTGAAAGGCTTTCGAACAATAATCCAGCACAGAATGTATGATCCAGATAAGAACACAGTCAGCTTAAAGGAAAAGCGTAATGGTTCACTGAACACCAGAGCTAATTAAACACGTCTTGTCAGTAGGACTGTCACTAACTCTGTCTCTCATGCGGACGTTTATCCTTTTGTTGCACAGGTGTATCTGTGATAGGGTGTATTTTTAAAGAAACTTGGTTGTTTTATTTATTTGTTATCTTCTCTAAATACACCACTACTGTTTTTATAAACACCTATTTACATTACACTGGCCTTATACTATTAACTAATTATTGCCCTCTCTTAGTCTCTTTAACTCAACTGATCTCACTGGACCTTGACACCTTCTGTCATTGGCCAACTGGGTGAGTTTTTAGTGAGTTTCATCACCTGTCCAGTCAGAAACTTTACTTTTACCTAAGTCTTTAAAGAAGAAGGAAGTATATTTCAACCTCCTTGAAATACTGAATATCTACTTCTTCTTTATTCTTTTTCATCACTAGTTATTGTCTTCTAATAACTTCACAGGTATGTGTGTTTTGCTATTTTATTGGGTAATTGTCTTTCTGGGACACTATATTTTGTTTGAGAGGTGTATAAATGTAACCATGGTATTTTAAGCAACAGCAGCCATCTTGAATTTTTATGCTTTGGGATCTTTTGTGTTCAATATATTCATAGTCTTTCATTAGGGTTAAAAATTAAAATTTTCTAAATGTACTTACAATTTAATAAGTTATTTGTATAATTGTATGAAAATCCTTATATATTATAACATTCATAAAAGCAGTAAGCTAAATCATGGAGCTTCTTTACCACGAAGATAACAAATTAGTATTATGTAATTGAAGTGAAAAAAAGATAAAATATGAAGAAATTGAATAGTGATAGTGATAAAAATAATGGTTGTAATTAACACTGGTGATGTGAAAAATTAAAATGAAGAGATTACATGGCAGCATATCATGAATAATATATGATTAATGCTAGTGTGAAATTATAAAATATATATACGTGTTATAGGGTGACCTGGGGTAGTTTAAATAACCAGACAGGGTTCTTTTATAGTTTTATTATAGGTGAAAACAGAAATCAAAAACCCTGCAATACACAAATATCACAATAATATACAATTATAAAATATAACAAATACAAATAAAATACAAATCTTTACAATAAACGAAATTGCCAACTGTATATAATACAAAACCTAATGCATTAATATTTGAAATAAATAATTATGCAACGTGATATACATTTATAATACATAGGTTGTAAATAACTTTTACCCCAAGTGGAGTTTATAGATGAATATAACTATAACACCTTATTATTATAACCACACAACTTATTCCTGAAACAGGACATTAATTCAAATAACTAAAATTAAAACACTTATGTAATTGACTTCTATAAATAGTACTTATCTTACAAATATAAAAATATGGTTACTTTATGAAAACTTACTATAATTACTAATAATATTCTTTAATTTTATACTTAAACTTATAAAACACTTTAACATACCTCTAAACTATATCCAATAGAATCCAGATTACCATATGAAATTCAAACACATCAATTTGGTGAAAGTACAAACTGACTTGACTATACAAAAGCTAGGTAACTAATGATTCTGTATCTAGGTATCCCAATATCCCAAAAGAATGTAACAACAAAGTGATGAAAGATCACTGAACGAGGTTTATAGAATTAAACTTAAGAAGAAATAAGAAGAGAAAATAGAAAGTGAGTATTGTGTGTTGAAATAAGAAGAGAAAATAGAAAGTGAATGTTGTGTATTGAAATAAGAAGAGAAAATAGAAAGTGAGTATTGTGTATTGAAATAAGAAGAGAAAATAGAAAGTGAGTATTGTGTATTGAAATAAGAAAAGAAAATAGAAAGTGAGTATTGTGTATTGAAATAAGAAGAGAAAATAGAAAGTGAATGTTGTGTATTGAAATAAGAAGAGAAAATAGAAAGTGAGTATTGTGTGTTGAAATAAGAAGAGAAAATAGAAAGTGAGTATTGTGTATTGAAATAAGAAGAGAAAATAGAAAGTGAGTATTGTGTATTGAAATAAGAAGAGAAAATAGAAAGTGAGTATTGTGTATTGAAATAAGAAGAGAAAATAGAAAGTGAGTATTGTGTATTGAAATAAGAAGAGAAAATAGAAAGTGAGTATTGTGTATTGAAATAAGGAACACATCCATTTAATAACAAATTTATTAATAGACTAACATACAAAGCAAGGGACACCTGTCAGACAACTCAAGGTACTACACAGTTACACAATATTGCAGGCATATGATATTGGCCTAGATGATATACCATAGTTAGATATCTCACAGTAATAATGTATAGACATAACATCCCTCCTCACTAAACTAAAGGTTATAACATACTAATATCATACTTCAAAGAAAATGTCATGACTAACTAAATATTACATTGTATAACTAATACAATCAATGTCACTTAAATATAACAAGTTCTAGAAAACTTTGAACTCTTTTAAACCAAACAATTTCAATTAAAACCTTTTTACATATTAACTATTAATCTATCAGCTGGTTTTCGAATTCTTTCAGATCTTCGAATAATATTCTGATTTTCATCAAGTGATTTAACAATACTAGGTTTTGAAAAACTTGAAACATTAGAATCAGGAATGTTTTTCAATAGGAACAACATTTTTACTCTGATTAGATGGTTCAACAACTTTAGTTTGATCTAAATCAACATCTGAATTAGGAATAGAGCCAGTTTCATCATCGTCAAATCTTTCCATAAGATGATCAATATGAACTTGACATTCACGATATCCGATTTTAACCAAATATCTGACAGCATTTAAACATTTTACAATTCTACCATAATACCATTTAGGATAATTACTTCTTACATTTAAAATTCTTACTTTCTCACCTTCAACAAATTGTCTAACCTTACGATTAACATTTCTTTTAGCAATTTCATCATTTTGCTTAGACTCTACTCTTTGTTGAATATTCGGCCTTAATAAACTAAATCTTGTTCTAACTTCACAGTTAAGTAATAATTCACTAGGTTTACGATTAATTACAGTATGAGGTGTATTACGATAAGTAAATAAAACGATGCAAGACATTTCTGAACAGACAAATTAGAATTCGAATCTTCAAAATGCTTTTTCAAAGACAGTTTGAACACCACGTCCTGCTGAACCATTTGAACTAGGCTGGTAGGGTGGGGAAAATGTACATTTGATACCATTATTTGACATAAATTTCTTATATATACACATAACTTGAAAATTGGGGACCATTATCACCAACAATTTCAACGTAATCCGAAACGTGCAAACCAATTTCCTAAAAGTAATTCATTTCTTCAATTTCTAACCATTTTGTACTCCACACACCTACCTCCACACCTTCCCTGATGAGCTGCATTACATTTGCGTTGTTTGCTGGAGATGTAAATGAATTAATATCATATGTAATAACACAAATAAAGAAATATTTTTAATAAACATTAAATTATGTACTTACCCATAAGGTTTCTTCTCTCATTGGTCCAATGCTTAAAGAAGGTGAGCTGTGCCTCTGTAAGTAAGTCCGATTTTTGTGGTTATACTATGACATCTCTTAGTTTCTCTGAGCATTCCGGAGAAAGGTCCTCCACACACTGAGGCACCTTGAACAATGCTTTTGGTGTTGATGGGAGTCGCGTCAACTGTGGAGTTGCCAGGTCAGTCTCAATACTTTTTTGAGTCGTGGCCATTGTTTTCGACACTGAACAATCTTCCACCCTTTTTTTTCTGTGAATTTTTCTCCGATGCGGTGAGGGTGATTCGTCTGCCTCACTGCTACTCTCTTCTATAGCAGATTTCTGTACTTTTTCCTTTTCCTCTAACTCCCTTATTCTTTCTTGAAGTCTTTCTACTTCTTTCTCCGCTTTTTTATCCTTCTCTTGTGAGTCTTTTTTCATTTTCTCAATGTCTTTTTTATACTGTTTGAGTTTACTCATAGTAAAATATTTCAGAGCGAAAAATTCTATATTCAAATCCTCTACTAATTCTTCCTCATCTGTTTCCTCCATTCTGGCGCAGAGTGATTCATCCATCCTAAATGTAAAGACAAAACATATTTATATATTAACCAGTGTTGGCATGAACGGAAACCGAATTATAACCTGGGTTAAATCAGATTGAACTTAGGTTGAAACTGGGTTTGCACTATTGTCAACCCAGGTTATACTTTTATAAGACCAGTTTTAAATGGAACTAACCGAACAATTTTTCATACTCACCTTTAACTTTTAATCTTTTTTTCTTTTTAGCAGATGAGCTACTCTATAAAGAAAAGAAAGTAAAATGTGTCATTGGCCTACTACGTGAACTATTATTCAGAGAGTAACGAGAAGAACAGATTTCTGAAGGTAATGAATGAGGAACACTTATTACAGACTACTGCACTCTACAGGAGTAGTCACATACCCAACCTTTGATGTAATCTATCTTATCTCGAACAGTGTATAATTACAAAGAGGTTCGAAATATAAATAAATTAAAACTCTTCTGGCCTTTATAAGATTTTAGTGAAAGAGCTAATATCTAAATCAATGTGGACCGTTGTAAAGTTTAACGTTCGCTTCCTTGTCATCTACCTACCTGTTTCTTGTTTAGTTCTCTGAGTAGTCCCACGTTGTTAACATACCAATGTTAGTTTTTAATTTCTTGTTCGTTTATAGTTTAGCCCTTATTATTCTGTTATGTCATTAACAGGGGCAACACCTCACGTTCCCACTCTGCCATAAAAAGGTTTGCGTACGAAGGGGCGAATCGTTTGCCCATTACTGTCCCTGAAGTTTGTAAATATGTTTTACCATTAAATGTGAAATCGTTTCGACTAAGACAAATCTCTAAAAGCTGTAGAATTACATCGTCGGGTCTGTTTGGATCTGGGTTTCTATTAAAAGCCTTACGAACTGCCGTTAAACCAGTAGTGTTATCGATATTGGTATACATAGAAGAAACGTCGATAGAAATTAAAATAGCATTAGAGGGAACTCGAAGATTTTTTATTTTATTGACAAAATCGGTTGTGTCTTTAAGGTAGGCGCGATGTTGGCATGCTAGAGGTATTAAGAAATGACCAATGTATTCTGACACTGCATATGACTCACTACCACAGTCAGATATAATCGGGCGGCCTTTAGGGATTTTATTCGAGGTAAACCACTCCTTGGTTGGATTCTTATGGATTTTAGGCAAAGTGTACAAATGTCTCTCGCGACAATCAGGTTTGGCAGACAGATAGTCATATTGTTTCTGTTTGAGATAACTAGTTTTGACTAAATCAGCAAGAATATTGTTAATCATGTTAGCGGTTTCTTTGATAATTGGTTTCGGTAAAATGGCATAATGTTTAGGATTATTCAGTTGATTCTCTGCTTCTGAAACGTAATCCTCCCTATTCAGAATGACACAACATGAACCTTTGTCACTCTTTTTAATAGGGTGTGAGAATTTTGCGGCTCAAGTTAACTACAGTTTGGCCTAGCGGTGGACTCTCAGTATTTTTATCCCCAGTAATTAGTTTAAAGACTTACTCGATGCTTGAAGCTGGTGTATCCAAAACAAATAGATGCGGTTTGCTGTTTCTGGAGACCAATGAAGATTATCAACTGGTTCGAATTCTTCTTCGTAGGGTGGTAAGATTGTTGCGCTGTTGATACTGGACTCCATCATCATGTTGTTAAGAGTGCTGAGGTTCTGTTGTGCTTTCTTCGAGATTTTATTTGAAATGGGTATACATGTGAAGAGGATCTTGGAGTTTGGGAAGGTTTTGTTGGCTGTGGCGATTAATTTCTGGGCTTGGTTAAAGGAGGTCTTTGGTAGCTGATTACGGTTGTTGAGGCCTACATGAAGAATAATGGTAGTAGGTTTGGGATCATGGTCGTATGATTCCAGGATTGACTGTATGTGATGGATTTGGGCACCGGGGTAAGAATGTATTTCGGTGTCTGAACTGGTTTTGGTAATTCGATTCAGGTTAGATGATCCAATTATTAAGGTAGATTTCTTTAGAGCAGGTAGCTTCCATAATGATTTGTCCTTGGTTTAGTGATAATACGATTTGGTAGCGGATATAATGGTCGTCGACGGTGTGATTGGTACTGGTTTGGTAGTTGTTAGAATTGTAGCATTTGGAACGGACTGGGATCTGGTTCGAGGGGGGGAAGGTCTGGATACACGTCTCGACGTGGATGGAGACTGAGGGGTAGTTTGCTGGTCCAAAAACGAACAGAAGAAGAAAGGTTGGCGGATCCTGGATCACGTGGTTAAGATTCAGATGGTGTGGAAGGGGAAGGTTTTTGTTTCGTTGATTGTTTGGTAGAATTTGGTGATTACAGCTTGAGTGAGACGTTTCCCATAGGAGCGACGGGCCCAGGACAGGGCATGAGAAACGGCGATTGGTAGGTGGTAGAGGTCGATGGAAGACAGGGCCGACGGCAGGTGATGATAAAGACTTGGTACGAATGGTGGTCAGCTTCTCTTGAAGTGTGGTTTGGTAATGGTCGATCAGGACCTGCGTAACCTTACAGAGCCATGTCCGATTGAGGGATCTAATATTCGCGTCGACAGCTGATGTTTTCATTGCTGGACGGATAAAACTATCCAACTCAGAGACTTTGCGTTTGAAGGTAAACGCCGGTTGGCCTTGCTGTTGAAGGGTAAGGATTGCCAAATGATGGAGGCACTGCAAAACTTGGAAGAACACCTTCACAAAGGGTTCTTCCTCCTTTTGAGTGGGGACTGGTTGGCGTCGGTGGGCTGGTAGTCGTTTCTGTTGTTGGTCAGGTCGATGGCTATCTCTTGATTGGTAGGCTGTGTTGTAGGTAGGTCGGCGATGGGGTGGGATATAGCTGGATGGGTCGGTTGGTGGTCGGCGATTGGTAGGTGGTAGAGGTCGATGGAAGACAGGGCCGTTGTAGGGTACGTGATATTGGTTTGGTTGACGATTAGTGTTTCTATGTCTGGCTTCTTGCCAGTGGTTGTTGTAGTTGGGGAGCATAATGAAAATAACTTGAGGTTAGAAGGGAATGTACAGCGGATGTAACAGGAGGAAACTGTATATGCTAGCGTGAAAATGTTGGGATCAAATTATGCAAATAAGTCAAACTGGGTTTGGGGATATATAAAGTAAGATGGAAGTTTTGATGAAAAAATGCAAAAATATATATTTAGGTGATAAATAACGCTAACAATGATGTCAAAAATCATTTGTTGATTACGTTTTGTAACAAATAATATATTGTGTACGGTATATTCACTTTGCGCATGTGCAATGAAAAAACGTGTTTTAAGCCAAAACAAGCCAAAAATTTTGCTGCCGAAAATTACACAAATTTTGAAATAAAAGTCACAGTCAGGATTGAATTATGTTTTTACTATAGTCATTGTATGAACAATTCTTACATTATTAAACATTTCCTAAAGTGAAACTTATTTTATCATCAAATAACTGTGAATCGGTGAAGTGCAACGATTTGCCATATTTATTTGCCAGTGCCAGTGCCACGTTTTAAGCCGCCAACGTTTATTAAGCCGCCAGTAAGCCCAACCAAACCAATTTCAAAATTTTGTATAGTCATTATTATGGAAGACGCCAAGAAACGTCGAGCCAAACGTTTGTTTACCTTTGCTGTGAAATCTGCCGAATCTCTGGTGAAATCTACAAGTATGCCGACTATAGAACAACTTGACAAAGCTTATGATAACCTTGAAGATATCTATGATGCCCTAGTTACTACAAATGAAGGTGTTTTATCAAATTTGCCAGATGATATCTCAGACACTGATCTGAATGACACTTTTAACTATTTACAAGAAGTAGAATTACTTAGAATAGAATTAACTGCTTGTATCCAACAAATCAAAAGTGATGTACAAAGAAAACAGAGAACAGACAGTCATGTTCCATCTGATACCTCTAGGCCTGTAGTAGTGAAATCTCAACTAGAAAGAGAAACATCAGAGAATATCCAGGGTGGAAAATCAGTTTCCTTTTAACTATGAACAAGTATTCTCAAGACAAAGACGAACAGTTACAACGCCTGAAAGATGCAGTTTTATCCCCTGCTAGAAAAGACATTATACATTGTTTAACTGTTGACTCTGCCATTGAAATTTTAGATCAAGATTATGGAAATTCTGATGAACTTATGTCTATATTGTTAAAAGATATTAAGAGCTATAAACCTGTTAAAAGTGAAAACTCCCATAGTTTAAAAATGTTTGAACTAAGATGTTTTATAGTAAGAATGACAGATTTAGGTAAAACTCATGACCTTAAATCAGATTATATTATTGCAGATTTTTTGGAAAAATTACCCCAGAAGATCAATATAAATATAAATCTTTATGTTTTGATAAACATATACCTTAGTCACTTGAATCTTTGGTGTCATGGCTTGGAGATTAGGGTTAGGTTTCGGGGAAGGGAGGGTTTGATTCTCCCAAATGTACAGGCCTAGGGTGGAGCAGACACTTTATTTAGAAATTAGGATTAAGGGTCTTGATTTTGGGTTTTCTTCTGTTCTTATTCTGACCTGAAATTAGAAAAAATAACTCGCCCGATGGGCGAGAAGTATAGTATCTGTTATGTACTGATTGTTTCTAGTTTACTATGAACAATATTATCATTTAAGTTCTTATTTTTTGAATATGCAACTATCATTTTCTGCTTATAGACATGGGGGAATTTCTCTTGAAGGCTCTTATAGTGGGCATGAACTATTTTGCTTGCTCGATTGCTGGTTGTATTAAACGGGACAACAAAGGGTGCTATGCCTACATTATGATGAATATTTAGTCCTATAGGTCTTGCTGTATTCAATGTCTCAATCCAATGGGCCTCCCTAGATTGCCGGAATTTGGTAGTTTCATCTTCGGGCAAGTCAATTTCTATACGCTCAATTGGGATTAGGGTGAGATCGTCTATTGAATGGTCGTCGAGGTTGAAATGATTAGAAACAGGCTTGTCTTTCTTTAATTTGATGTCTGACCTATGCGCATTAAAGCGAGTTCGTAAATTATTCTTAGTTTCTCCTACATATTGTTTGGGGCATTTCTTGCATGAAATTAAATATATTACATTCGAATGTTCACATGTTAGATGTTCCTGGATCGGGTACCTTTTATTCGTAGAGTTGCTTACAAAATAATGAGTTTCTGATATGAAGGGACATGTTTTGCATCTACTAGACAAACATGGAGCACTTCTTAAACCTGGAGGTACTTCGGCATAAAGTCTGTTTTTAGCTGCTATCTGTGCTAAGGTGGAATTTTTTATGTTTCGTAAAAATCGTTTAGAGTACCCACGCTCTTTCAGTTTTGAGAAAACAATCGTACAGGCTTGGTTGAAATCAGAAGATCTTGTACAAATTCGATGAAATCGTAAAACTTGTGACTTAATTATACCAGAAAAGGTATGTTTTGGGTGAAAGGAGCTCTTGTGCAAGAGTTGATGAGTATCAGTTTCTTTGAAATACACTTTAATATCCAGTTTATTTGTTTCTGCTATGGAATCTCCCTTAAAGACTGTGGTATCGAGAAAGTCTATGCTTTTGTCACTCACGTTTGCGGTTAGTTTGATAGAAGGATGGTGGTTGTTGAGAATTTCAAAAAATTCCCAAAACTGTTCGATAGAATAAGTCCAAACCATAAAAATGTCATCCAAAAAGCGTCCGTAAAAAAGTGGGTCAAATAGGCGCGATGTTGACATGCTAGAGGTAGTAAGAAATGATCAATGTATTCTGACACTGCATATGACTCACTACCACAGTCAGATATAATCGGGCGGCCTTTAGGGATTTTATTCGAGATAAACCACTCCTTGGTTGGATTCTTATGGATTTTAGGCAAAGTGTACAAATGTCTCTCGCGACAATCAGGTTTGGCAGACAGTCATATTGTTTCTGTTTGAGATAACTAGTTTTGACTAAATCGGCAAGAATATTGTTAATCATGTTAGCAGTTTCTTTGAAAATTGGTTTCGGTAAAATGGCATAATGTTTAGGATTATTCAGTTGATTCTCTGCTTCTGAAACGTAATCCTCCCTATTCAGAATGACACAACATGACCCTTTGTCACTCTTTTTAATAACAATGCTATCGTCTTTCTTAAGTAAGTTTAACGCTTCACGTTCCACTCGTGTGAGATTAGGCTTTTCGTGTGTTATGGAAAGGTTCACTGTTTGGCTATTCATACTCGCAAATGCTTTCAATATTTCAGGATGGATGCCGGCCTGAGGGGGTGTCCACGTGGATTTAGGAAAAAACATTGTTCTAGCACCACGTGGGGGGTGGTTTCGAAAAAAATATGTGCAGCTAAGATTTCGTTGAAATTGTTCAATGGATGGTCGGAGATAATTCAAGTTAGCTATCTTTGGTGTGGGAATAAATTTAAGTCCACGGTCTAAGATTGAATGCTGAAGGGGTGTGAGAATTTTGCGGCTCAAGTTAACTACAGTTTGGCCTAGCAGTGGCCTTTCAGTATTTTTATCCCCAGTAATTAGTTTAAAGACTTACTCGATGCTTGAAGCTGGTGTATCCAAAACAAATAGATGCTGTTTGCTGTTTCTGGAGACCAATGAAGATTATCAACTGGTTCGAATTCTTCTTTGTAGGGTGGTAAGATTGTTGCGCTGTTGATACTGGACTCCATCATCATGTTGTTGAGAGTGCTGAGGTTCTGTTGTGCTTTCTTCCATGATGATTTGTCCTTGGTTTGGTGATAATACGGTTTGGTAGCGGATATAATGGTTGTCGACGGTGTGATTGGTACTGGTTTGGTAGTTGTTAGAATTGTAGCATTGGGAACGGACTGGGATCTGGTTCGAGGGGGGGAAGGTCTGGATACACGTCTCGACTTGGATGGAGACTGAGGGGTGGTTTGCTGGTCCAAAAACGCACAGAAGGAAGAAAGGTTGGCGGATCCTGGATCACGTAGTGAAGATTCAGATGGTGTGGAAGGGAAAGACGAGTCTGAAAGTGAAAAGAGAAGGGGAGTGCCCTCTCTACGAGAGCGTTTTCCTATGTCTGCTGGACTAGGAGTAGGTGAACTTCGGGCTCGTTTAGGGGTTTGGTTCGGCAGCGTGGTGGCTCTAGATGGTGCAGGTGTAGTGTCCATTTCAGTTGGTAGAGATATAGTTACTCTGGTTTTTGTTTCGTTGATTGTTTGGTAGAATTTGGAGATTACAGCTTGAGTGAGACGTTTCCCATAGGAGCGACGGGCCAAGGACAGGGCATGAGAAACGAAGCGGTCGACGGCAGGTGATGATAAAGACTTGGTACGAATGGTGGTCAGCTTCTCTTGAAGTGTGGTTTGGTAATGGTCGATCAGGACCTGCGTAACCTTACAGAGCCATGTCCGATTGAGGGATCTAATATTCGCGTCGACAGCTGATGTTTTCATTGCTGGACGGATAAAACTATCCAACTCAGAGACTTTGCGTTTGAAGGTAAACGCTGGTTGGCCTTGCTGTTGAAGGGTAAGGATTGCCAAATGATGGAGGCACTGCAAAACTTGGAAGAACACCTTCACAAAGGGTTCTTCCTCCTTATGAGTGGGGACTGGTTGGCGTCGGTGGGCTGGTAGTCGTTTCTATTGTTGGTCAGGTCGATGGTTACCTCTTGATTGGTAGGCTGTGTTGTAGGTAGGTCGGCGATGGGGTGGGATATAGCTGGATGGGTTGGTTGGTGGTCGGTGATTGGTAGGTGGTAGAGGTCGATGGAAGACAGGGCCGTTGTAGGGTACGTGATATTGGTTTGGTTGACGATTAGTGTTTCTATGTCTGGCTTCTTGCCAGTGGTTGTTGTAGTGTAGCATAATGAAAATAACTTGGGGTTAGAAGGGAATGTACAGCGGATGTAACAGGAGGAAATTGTATATGCTAGCTTGAAAATGTTAGGATCAAATTATGCAATTAAGTAAAACTGGGTTTGGGGATATATAAAGCAAGATGAAAAATGCAAAAATATATATTTAGGTGATAAATAACGCTAACAATGATGTGAAAAATTATAACAAGTAAAACAAAAACTTACGCAATTGACAGGGTTAGGGTTAGGTTTTAGGTTTGGGTTTTGGTTTGGTTTTTGGTTTGGTTTTTGGTTTGGTTAAGGTTAGGTTTTTAAGGTTTTTAAGGTTTAGGTTAGAACCAATGATCAATTGAGGATTATAGGAATATTGGATTAGATTTTGATTATATCTGAGTAATAATTCAGGAGGATTAGATTATCTCAGAGTACAATTTACATAAATGAAAAACATAAATAATCAGAAATCAAGAATACAAAAATATAAAAAAAATATATAAACATGAGAAATATTTGATAAAATAAGCGGGATTAGTGAATTGTAATTTGATTAGAACTAACGTTGAATTTTGATTATACCCGAGTAGTAATTTAAATGGATGGATTATCTCGGAGTATAATTTACATGGAAGAAAAACATAAATAATGGCAATTGAATTTACTTGGTTAGATTAAAAGATTAATGCAAATTTTTTTGAAGAAAGTTTGTTATATGTTAGGGTTAGGGTTAGGGTTAGGGTTAGGGTTAGGGTTAGGTTTAAGGGTTAAGGTTAGGTTTAGGTTTAGGGTTAGGTTTAGGTTTAGGGTTAGGGTTAGGGTTAGGGTTAGGTTTTAAGGTTTTAGGTTTAGGTTTTAAGGTTAGGTTAGGTTAGGTTTAAGGTTTAAGGTTTGAGGGGTTTAGGTTTAGGGTTAGGGTTAGGTTTTTTAGGGTTAGGGTTAGGGTTAGGGTTAGGGTTAGGGTTAGGGTTAGGGTTAGGGTTAGGGTTAGGTTAGGGTTAGGGTTAGGGTTAGGGTTAGGGTTAGGGTTAGGGTTAGGGTTAGGGTTAGGGTTAGGGTTAGGGTTAGGGTTAGGGTTAGGGTTAGGGTTAGGGTTAGGGTTAGGGTTACGGGTTAGCGTTAGGGTTA